ACCCTAAACCCTAAACCGAAGCCTTTTAAGGACCTCCTACAAGCTAAAGGAAGCCACAAAAGCCCCAAATTTCATTCACGTCGTTCGCATGGCCCGTAGATGTCTAGAACGTTTAGCGCAGCATCCCTGGAGCCCTGAAATTTCCAGAATCTAAGTCCGAAGCCTCAAAACCTGAAACCCGGAACCCGAAACACAAAAAGCCGCAATCCGAAATCACAAACCCCAAAACACCTAGACCCCAAATAGATTAAACCCTAAAAACCGCAACGCCCGAAACCAGAATCCGCACAACCCGAAAAGCCTGAAGCATGAAGGTTCCCAAGCAGCAGATCCGGGAAGTGCCCAAGCACATCCCCCGGGTCGAGACGCGCTGTGCCAGGTGCTGAGAAGCTGTCCCTGCGGCTTTGGGGGGTTGGGTTCTCAATCTAATGTAAGCGCCTCAGTAATACTAGTTTGCTGAATAGTTAGAATAGGGTTTGGCGGGTNNNAATCATAGTATAATATACCCCCAAAACCCTATTCTCATTATCAAGACCGCTGCGCCGCTACATTAAGGTTCGAGGTTTCAGGTTCCGAGTTCGGATCTTGGGGGTTGGGGTTTGGGGGGTTGGTGCTTGCGGCACAAAGTTTAGGGGAAGGGTTTAGGGTTTAGGGGTTCAGGTTTAGTAATTTAGGGGTGTAGGGTCGGTTTCGGTTTTTTTACCTGTATTTTTCTTAGGGAGGGCAGTTTTCCTCGTGATGACTTCAGGGATTGTTGAAGCTGTTCGGCAGGCTTACCGGGTTTGCGGGGGGATGGACATTTAGTAATTTAATGGGTTCTGGAGTACTATACTTGATTACTTTTTTGGGTACCTCTTCCTTCAAGGAACCATTATGACATGAAGTGTATACATGTTTCTACTTTGTTACTTCAAAGCCCAGCCTGTGGATTGGCACCGGGATTAGGGTCAAAAGGGATGTTGCTTTGCTGTCCTTACCGCCATGGGTTCAGGTACCGCTATGCGTTCGAGTACAATGATGATAGGTGCTGCTATTGCTGTTTAGAAACTACGGGGGTTTGGCCAGGGGTTGCGTGCTTGCTATGTTAAGTTTGTCTTTGGTGTTCGGCTTTAGAGTGCTCTATATACCCCTACACCCTGTTCTAAGGATTAAGGCCCCTAGATGCGGGTTTAGGGTTTTGGGTTTAGGGGCAAGAGCCTGGAGGCTTGCGATCCTAGAGACTCAGGACATCCTAAACCCTTAGTCCCTAAAGCCCTGAGACCTAGAAACCAAGCTCAACAACATCCAAAAGCCCTAAGCCCGAGAGTGGCCCTACATTTCTCAAATTTGTTCCGTATTTTTCTAGTGTATTCTCATAAGAGCAATAGTGTCACAAGTTTTGCTACCGTGTTTACTACCATGATGATCATGATGATTAGTATAGCTGTCAGTGTTGTTTGAAGTCATCATTGTCACCATCATTCTATACCTTAAGAACCCCAAACCCACTTTTTTGTAGGTTCTTACTATAAACCCTAATATGGGATTTATAGGGACCCTACAAAAAAGTAGGTTTTGGGTTCTTAACGTAGCCCCTAAACCCTAAACCCTAAACCCTAAACCCTAAACCCTAAACCCTACACCCTACACCCTAAACCCTAACCCTAAAAAGTAAACCCTAGCCCCAACATCTTCCAGCCCGAGAGCCCTGCCGACCTACAACCCCCCAACCGTTTTCTCGGCTGCTGGTGCCCAGGTTGAGAAAATCCAGTCCGTCCCGCCTGCGCCCCGGTTTTCTGGGCCGAGCTCTTTGGGCTTAGGGCTTAGGGTTTAGGGCTTAGGGTTTAGGGTTTAGGGTTTAGGGTTTTGGCTGCTTTGGATTGGCTGAAGGTTGGCTCGGGGTGTACTGGCTTAGGTTTTGGAGCCCCTGCACCCGAAAGCCCTAAATGCCAAACCTTCAGGCACCACCCGAAAGCACCGAGGGGCAGGGAAGCCGTCGGCAAACCAGGGTTCTGAACGCCCTGGGCCCTGCCTTCAGTTCCCTGCGATTTTGGGGCCTCCAACAGCAAGGAGATTTTCGACTGAGCCAGACCTAGACCCTAAACCCAAGAATCCTGCACTCTTGCGTGCCGGAGCTCGAAATCGCTGAACAAAATGCTCATAGGAATGCCTCCGGCCGCCTTAAACCCTAAACCCTAAAGCCTAATATAGGGGCCTTACTATTTAGAATAGGGTTTGTGGGGGTATATTCTACTGTAGTTTTATATGGAAGCCCCCGAAACCCTACTCTAATAATTATTAAGGCCCCCTCATGAAGCCTTAAGCCTCCTAAACCCTAAACCCTA